AAAATGAGAATTAATGATAAAAAATTCAAAAATTTATCACAAAATGATAAACGCAGTGATCATATGAAGGATATATATACGAATGAAAATGAAATCGACAATTCACAGAATTAACAAGAAAAGGCAGCAAAGAAAAGTAAAAGCAAAGCAAAGAGTTTGTAACAGTAAAACTCAATAGCAAAACCATAGGAGCAAAGTCATCTTATATTTGATATTAATGATTTTTAATTGTAATATTTTATTTTATTATTTTTAATAATAAAGAAAGAACAACATAGCAACTTTAATTAATCATTCTATTTTTTACTGTTCTATTTTTTTTTTTCTCACCAAGTTTAAAGTTTATTTTATTAAAAACTTTTTTTACCAAATTTAAAGACCGTCACGTGATTTTTTTGATTTTCCTTAAATGGAAATGATGACAGAGGGGGGGAGGGGATTCAAAATCCCAAAAATTAAAATGACGTCATTTCTGGCCCTCCCCTAACTCATCAGCAGAAGCTCATGATTTAATCGCATCTCTACGCTCAGAAAATGTATTTTTTATGGACTTTCCGATGATTAATCAAATATATGCTGAACAGCAAACAAAAATGACGAAACTATATGGAAGGATGTTGTAAGAGACGAGACAAATATTGAATAAGCATAAAGAGGAATTATTAACAATTAGTGATAAGGAAGAATTATTAAAGCAAAAAGAAGAATTATTAATAATGAACGAAAAGCATAATGAAGTGTTATTTAAATTAACAGAGAAACGAAAGGATGATGAAGCTGAATTAGTTTCGCGTACAGCAAGATTGTTTAAACTTCTAAAAATCACTAACGTTAGGGAAGCTTTGTGGTTTATCTGCGGTCGGGTAAGTCTTTATGCGTCAAACATTTTATTTATTATAATTTTTCTTCAATAGATTATTTACAAGAAAGCTATAGATCCTCTCGATATACATGAACCTATTGATAATTTGTTAGAAACGACGTTAAATGAAGATGCATATTTTAAGGAGAAGACGTGTAAGGTGAATAATGTGACAACAGATGCCGTGAAGAAATGTATTGGTGGTCTGTATCATACGTCATCAAAAGGACTTCATGGTTACGACAAAATTGCGATTCGTGCAAAAGATTGGGAGGTAAATGAGATAATTGCCTGGGTCTCATTTTCAAATATTATCGTATTCCTTTCATTTATTGGGATGAACCGGATCGAGAGGCGAAATTTCCATACGAGTTAGCAGTTTAATCATGTGATCCAACCTACTTTAAGATGCAAAAATCTTTAATTTTAATTTTTCTGAAGAATTTTACATTATTCTAGTCAAATAATGATTATGGTTCCGAAATAAATGATTTATATCATGATAGTCCTCCATTGAACCAAAGTAAATTTTACTTTTTGTTTTTCATAAACGAATAATACGTATCACAATTGTTTATTATATCAATCAGATAACATTAACTGTGGATTCATAGAAAGTTATTAATTATTATTGCGCTATCTAGACATCGTATTACTCAAATCTAGTATTATTTAACATCTAGTAAGTTTTTTTAGATGTGAAGAATTTGCAACAAAAATAATGAAATTCAATTTAAGACTTGATAAAATTATAATTTATTGAAGTTGAATTAAACAAGGGTATCATATGGAATTGGTGTGATAGTTGTCGGCATGTTCTTATCGGTGGAAACAAAATGTGATTTTCGAGGCGCTTCCGGTTGTCTTTTAAGGTTAACCTTTTCTATATTCGTAAAGATTATTTAAGGAAATGTTAAAAAAAGAAAGAAAGATAAATGTTGAGTCTATCGTGAAATTTTCCTACCTCCTTTAGCTCTAGCCTCCTTTTTCCTGATCGCATTTTCCTTGACACGACGTAGGAAATCATCCCTACATTTCGAATGTTTAATATGTTCAACACGAATATTAACCCGCTTTTCAATAAAACGGTTGCCAACACGCTTATTAATGATTACACCGACGGCTGAATTTGTTACATTGTAAATGATACCAGTACGACTGTTAAATAAATTAATTTGAATAATTAAATTGTTAGAATAAGAAAAGTTGATCGATCAATAAATAAAATAAAAAACTTACCCATGATAAAATTTATGGGGCATACCCTTTTGGACGGCACCGTTGGCTTTAATGTCAACGATATCGCCGACCTTGTACGTCTTAAGGTAGGTTGAAAGCCTGATAGATCCATGCTCGCGGAATTTACGAGAGAACATATAGCGCGTACGAGCGCGAATACCAAAAGAGTTAGGCATCTTTTATACTTCTACCGCATTAAAATCGAATTAATTACAATAATGATCAATTAACAAGATTTGCTATCTACCAAAAGTAATCAAATTGACAATAGAAATAACCCTTTTGTTTGAGCAAATGGGATATTGATTTCAACTTACAACCTACAATGGTTCGTTTAGTGGAAGAGGGGATTATAAAAAATTTATTAGTATTTAGATGAAATATTAAAAAATTTTTGCATCGATGCATTGTAATTGGGTCATATGCACGTGACTCAATTTTTTTTTTTTTTTTTGCTAAAAAAATGAATGATTTATGAATTAATCGAAACCTTCCCAGATTTTTTGTTTCTATTAATAATTCCTTCATAATGCCTGGAGCTCCGAAGAATTGTATTCTTATGAAACTTTCCTGATTGTTTAATTTAAAACTTTGTATGCTTTTTTTGTTCGTGCTATATATATATATTATCGTATCATGCCGGTAAATATTTTTTTTTTATCTATCTATATGATAATTTTGAATTATGGACAAAATTTCTAACGAAAATATTAAAATATATTTGAATAGTTCGAGAGATATCCTTTAGTATTTATTGTAAAATGGATTAAATGACCCAATCAATTGATCTTATTATGTCAAATTTTCAATTAAATAAATTAGAAATTTTATATTATTTTATTCTTTTCTTTTTTTTTTTTGTTATTTTGGAAAGTTTCATAGAAGAGAGATACAGCAATCTCTCTGGACACGAACGAAGATAAGAGTTATGGTCCACCGCTCACTTCCACTTTTAAATAAGTGGTGATAAGTGTGGATCATGGTTGCTAAGTGCAACATTTGGAAAGCTATCCGCAATTTCAAATTTTTGAAAATCTCAACCTCATTTGCCTACATTAGCAAATTAATGAGAATTCAAAGTGGAATATGGCTTTACCTGTTTTATTTTTTCCTTGTTTTGCTTTAAATAGGCTCAAAAACCTACAAAGTTCCCCGTCGTCCATTTGAAAAGGAACGAATCGATCAAGAACTTCGACTAATCGGTGACTTTGGTCTTAGAAACAAACGTGAAATTTGGCGTGTAGCATACACACTTTCAAACATTCGTCGTGCGGCTCGTGAACTGTTAACGTTAGATGATAAAGATCCTCGTCGTCTATTTGAAGGAAATGCTTTGATTAGGAGGCTTGTGAGAATTGGTGTATTGGATGAAACTAAAATGAAGCTTGATTACGTTTTGGCTTTGAAAATTGAAGATTTCTTGGAAAGGAGATTACAAACCCAAGTTTTTAAATTGGGCTTAGCCAAATCAATTCATCACGCCCGTGTCCTCATTAGACAGCGTCATATTCGGTAAGTTTAATTATTGCACTTAAATGTTTTTGATTCTAATTAATGCTTATAATAATCTTTTTTTTAATAGAGTTGGCAAACAAATCGTTGATATTCCAAGTTTCATTGTCCGGTAAATTGCTATTTATTTTTATCATGATTTATTAAGATAAAATTTTCTTTTTTAACGGATTCTTATTTCTTATCGTATAAATCTAGACTTGACTCTCAGAAACATATCGATTTTGCTCTCACCTCACCTTATGGTAATTTATTGTTAAATAAACATACATTTTATTGTAATTTGATTATTTGCTTACATTTGTAATGTTTCTTTTTTTATAGGTGGTGGACGTCCTGGCCGTGTAAAGAGAAAACGTCAACGTTCCGCTACTAAGGGCAAGTTTATATTAATCTTTCACAATGCTATTAACCATTTCCTATGGTCATTAAACTAATTTATTTATTTATTTTTGCAGGTGATGAGGAAGAAGATGACGAATAGATAAATGACTGATGCCAAAACCTCATAGTCGTTTCGCTTTGCGGATGCAATTAAAAATTTATATTAATGCAACTTATATAATATATCAAGTGTTTCGCATTCCAAAAATAAAATTAATAATTCTGCTAATTTTTTTATTTGTTCGTTAACATTGATTTATTGACTTTATTTTATTGCCTATTAATATTTTGTCTCAAAATTAATTCACTCGAATAAATGAACTAAAACTAAGTTTCCATTGCTTCAGGATTCTCTGCAACAATATTGTTTTCTACACCTTCCATTTCAACGGGAACTTCATTAAACATGTATTGTTCTTGAAACTCTCTCAAATAATTAACAGATCTTTTTTCATCCAAGAATAATCTATACACGCGTCTGATATCAACGACATCGACACTACTTGCCTACAAATAGTTCAAGATTAATTAATGTAATGAAGTGTGTGTATAAATTTTAATCTTTGTAATAATTAATTACCTTCCGTCTTTTGGCTACCAGATGAGCAGCCGTAATTAGATGTATCGAGTATCTTAATGAAGTTTCCATTCCTATCTTTGTTAATATATCGCGTGCTTCATCAGTCATTGTCACATCCTCTTCTTGACATCTAAATATATAATAAATTGGACATTAGATAATTACAGGGGCATTTCATTAAATTGAAAACTTATCTTTACCTAATGGTAAGGATTTGTTTGATCGAATTGTCGTCATATGGAATTGTACTAATAATCAATAATCGATCTAACAAATCGATTGGAATCCCATGTGGGCTCTTATATTTGGTACCTCGAATTCTTGTGATCCCACGATTAGATGCCATAATAACCACCGGCGCTCGCTCATCTTCTAACGCACGGTTTAAATATGAAAAACACTCAATGTCAAGCATATGAACTTCGTCAATAAAAAGTACCTAAAAAAAAAAATGAAATACTATACAATATTAAAATATTTATTGGTACTTTCCGTTTGAAAGTAATGATCTAACAAACTTGAATGAACGTTATCCCCTAGTATCACTTACGCCAGGAATAATTTCGGCCTTTCCTTCTTCTCTCCATTCGGTAACTTTTGTATTTATCTGGTCTCGAATTTCTGGCTTAATCTCCCCAGTATCACCTAATTAAGTGTAAGTTATTAAGTTTTATATATATATATAACCCTTGCGATAATGTATCTATTAAATAATATAAATTTTTCTTATTACCAGAAAACAAAGCTAAAAATCCTTGTGTTCGACTATTTATTACATCGATTTCGTGTAGTGATACCGTATGAACTACTTCTTTACGCTTTTGCAATTCGCCTTCAGGGCATTGAACAAATCTAGTCTATATTCAAATAAATTTGATATGAATGAATACAAAAAAAGGGAAGAAATAATGATGATAATAATAATAATAATAATACTACATCTGCACCCATCGCATCGTAATCCCTGGCTCGAGTAAACGATCTACCCAATTTAGAGATTTTTCCGGACGCTTTATCGATAGTAATCACGTCTCTAAAACGATTAAATAAATAAACATACATGAACATGACTTATTTAAAAACAATATCAATTTTTATGGATATTACCCAGCCAAAACCTTCTCTTTGTTCAATACATCTATCATTTTATGCCCCAGTTCAAATATTGTTTCCATATCAGTTGTCTTGAGGGTAATCTTGCCAGTTTTATTACCCTTGATTAATTGAAAAATTAAGTTAATAATAATCAAGTACAAATTATTAAATTATTTATAATAAAAATTCCTACCCCCGTGATCGATCGATCTATTTGGACTTCAACGACTTCGCCTTCAATAATTTCGGCTTCCTCCTTTATTCGTACCCCAATTGAACGTCTGAAAGCTTGTGTAAGAGCTTCAGTCTTCGACATTTCAAGAGAAAAAATTTCAGAAGCAGCAATCATCGTAAAAGGTATGTCCTTGCCCAAAGCTTGTGCCATCCCTAGAATGAAAATTGTAAAATCATTGTTTTAACAAAAATAACAAAAAATATATATATGTAAAATTTGAAAACTTACCCATTGCAATAGCAGTTTTGCCAGTTCCTGGTGGACCAGCCATAAGAATGGCACGACCCGCGATTTTACCTTCTTTAATCATTTGTAAGATTACTCCAGCTGCCTTACGGGCTTTAACTTGACCCACCATTCCCTGTGCAACTTGCCGAGGTTCCAGTGAATCATCAAGACCAAGACCTCGAATGTGCGAATGAGCACCTGGAAAGTAAAAAATTAAACATAAAATATATATATATCGTTAATATTTAGTTTTTATAAACTTACCTATTCGCTCCATTTTTGTAACATCTTTAATTTCCGAAGAGGTTGTAATTACGCCTGCCTGACATGAGTCTGTACATTGAGAACAACCATTTCAGAATATTAACTTATAACAAAAATAAAAGAGAGATCACTACCATATTATTTTAGAAAGCTTTTTCAATGATATTGACAGCAAAAACTTGCGAACGAAAAGTTTTAAGAACAGAACACTTTTTTCCTTGAGATCGATCGTGTTTATCAAAAAAATTTTCGGTAACGTGACTTTGTGTTTACAAAATAATCTCGATTATCTTATTACCTTGATAAAAATTATTTTTCGATTTATTTAAAAATTTCGATTTATTTCGATTTATATAATTTTAGCCAAAATTAACTCATAATGCTATAATTCAGCCAAAATTAAAAAGAATTTATTAAATGTTCAAACTAATATAATAATATTTTATTATTTGCGATTGAAATACAAAATATTAAGCATCCGAAGAGAATCTTGACTCAGATTTTCTCTATCTTTATTCAAAATATTATTATAAACAGAAAAACTACGTTCTACACTAGGCGACATATTTGCAACGAAAGAAATTTAAAAAAAAGATATGGTGTGTCAACTATAAACCACAAAATATCATGTGACTTTAAAAATTTTATAAGTTAATAATTTAAGTAATACAAATTTTAAACTGATAAAATAATAGTAGTATGAGTTAAACATTTTTATCGGTTTACTTTTAAAGATTTATTAGAGAAATTTAATTTTATTAAACTAGATCATTTATGTAAATTTCATAAATTTCATATGAAAATCAAGAAATTGCAATTAAATTTGGCGCATAAGGTTTTATATATAAAAGATGTACTGAATTCTATCATAAAATTTGAAATAAAGAATCCCAATATATTTTATTATTAATTTAATGCTTTCAATTCAATAAAAATGTAATTTGTACAATTCTTTATGCATTTATATTGATATTAAAAAGAAATGTAAGATTCACCTCCATTTAATTCTGAATTTTATTGCGGTTTATTCATTTATGCAAATAATAAGGGTCTGTAATATGTTCCATTTTTTACCTATTTTCCCATATTTTTCCATGTCTTAATTAATTAATAAACAAATGATGTTCATCATTTCTTACACTTTAATCAAATCAATAAAACTGACTCATCCATCAAAACAAAAAATAAAGGTTAAAAAACAAGAATAGAATAATAATGGAACATTTGCAAAGAAATTGTGAATTGTTAATAATTAGGATGATGATTATTAGGGAAATGAAGATGACAGTGGTTGGGATGAAAATAGCAGTGGTTGAGATAAAGATAGCAGTAGTTGAAATGAAGTTGATTTATTAAATGATAATGAAAATAAATATAAATTAGTTTAGTTAAATAATGCATATTTAGAACAAAAAAACGTGATCTTTACCTTATAGGAAAAATCAAAAAATTAACTAATTTTGATAAATATAGTCTGATTGGTTCTTTTACAAAAGTCGCAAAAGGAATTACAAATATTTTAACGCTTATAAATAAATATCGATTAACTCTAAATGACTTTAATAATATTTTGGATAATACTGAAGGTGAAGAACAAAATGGTCAGCTTGATTTAAAAAAAAAATGAAAATTTGAAAATTGAACTTAAAGAAAAGCAAAAATTGTTAACAGTAATTGAATATAATAAAATGCAAGCAATTTTTGAATATTTGAAGAAATTAGATAATAGAAAAGAAAAAACAAATGCTAGTGTGAAAGCTACACAATTAGTTTTTATTGATTGTGCACTATATAGAACAAGATCAATTTAACATTAGGCAAATTTTTGGCTTCAGCATAATTATTTTCCAATAAGTCATCAAGAAAAGCATTAAATAATCATGCAATTAATAGACGATGAAGATATAACAGAAAAATGTCATATATGGATATGATCTTAAGGTAAAAAAGTTGTCCCATTAAAATTTAAAGAATTTGTTAAGCAAAAATTGTTTATTAATTCTGACATCACAAAAAAGAAAATCATTAGTATATCAACTGCAATGCAATGACTAAATATACCTAGTTATTTTTTTTAATCACAAAAGTAAGGTAAGAAAAATGTATTAATTAATATAATATAATATAATATAAAAACAAATAATATACATAATACTTAAAATATAATACTTAATATTAAATAATAAAGGCACATATTATGATGGTCATGAACACTCTGATGTTATTGAATATCAAAAGTCATTCCTGAATGAAATCTATAATTATGAAAAATATATAGCAAAATACGAAAGTGAAAATATGAAATGAATATCACTAAATTAGAATTTGAGGATAAAGAGATAATGCTTATAATACATGATGAATATATATTCTACTCTAATGATGAAAGATAGGATGTATGAGCAAAGTCTAGAAAGTTACCGCTATATAAAAAAGAAAATGAACGTTCAATAATGGTTAGTGAATTTTTGTTAGAAGAATGTGATCAGCTTAAATTAAATGTATAATAATATCAAGAAAATCCTTTTATATTTAAAGAAATGCATATTTATCTTCAATCAGGTAAAGATCAAAAGAAATATTGAACAAGTGAGCATTTAATAGATCAAATAAAAATAAAAGCAATTCCAATTTTTAAAATTCTTTTTCTCAACTATTTACATTTGATAATAACTCAAACCATATAGCATTTAAGTCTGATGCTCTTATTACCAGTAAAATGAACTTAAAACCTGATGACAAACAACCAAAAATGAGAGATACAATTTTTGGATTAAATAACTAGTATCAATCAATGGTAAATGAAAATGGTGAGCCTAAAGGAATAAAACAGGTCTTAGTTAAACGTGACTTATAGAAAGATAGTCTAAAAGCTGATTATCACTTATATAAAAATAAGGTTGAAGATATAACCCAAACAGATTATTATGCATAACGTATTATTTCATTATAACCTAATTTTTTGAAACAAAAAAGTATATTAAAAGAAGCAATATTAGAAGCTAGATACAAATACATTTTTTATCTAAAGTTCTATTACGAATTGAATTTTATTGAGAGATATTGAGGAACAGCGAAAAAATATGCTTGTGAAAATTATAATTATTTGTGATCAAGCTTGCAATATGTTGTTTCCATAGCTTAGAATCTGTTGATATAATTTTGATAAGAAAATTTGCAAGGAAGGCATAGCGTTATATGGATTTATATAGAAATAGAATTAAGGAAAATTGGCAGAATATGCAGCCAAAAAATATAAATTTCACTATTATATTCTTAATTATGTATTAGTAGAATTAAATAAATTTGAATAAAATGCGTATTACAAAATGATAAAATCACATAAAATCCTGCTAAATCACATAAAAATCTATATTTGAAATTTTAGATTTTTGTGGTTTATAGGTGAAATACATAATAGATAAGATTTTTTTTTATAATCAATAGCCAATTATATTATTTTCAATTTGATTTATTTAGCCAATAGTATTCTTTTTACGTAAAATATCATAAAAAAAGTTATCTTAAAAAATTTTAATTTAAGCAACATGACAGAGTTTCTTAAATGATTATTAGTTACACAAGTTATTTATATAGTAAATCCATATATAATTACAATGTGTCATATTATATCACATAAAAGCATGTTTGTTTGCCACAAAATTTTATTAAAATATTTTTTTATTGCTATTCTACACTAATATATATTATGATCTCTAAGATCTCTTAGTTCCACCAAGTTTTACTAGGAGGAACTTTAGAAATACCTTCATGTTATACAAAATCAAAATATTAGTTTTGTAATCTTTAAAAACTAAAATATCTAATAAAACTTGGAATCTTTTTTATCAAAAACCTTCAGAATTTATGTGAGCAAGATTAGAACATGAAAAAATAATCATTTTTTTACAGACTTTTTGTAAAACTTCAGAATTAGTATTACAAAGTTAATTTTTTATAAAATTAGTTTAACCAATCAGAATTTTCATCGATTAATCAATAAAATCAAAATACTGTTATACTGATTTAAGCAAAATCTTTTGATTTATTTTAAAAAATTATTTTCAAAAATTTTATGTGTCTTTGCCTTAATTGTTCTAATTTTTAACTCTGAAAAAAAAACTCTTTCTCCTTTTCATATTTTTTGAAAAATGAAAAATTTATTTTTTTATTGTTTTTTTATAAAATTTTATTTGTTTTTACATATAAAAGACTTTGAAAAGTTATATAAATACAATAAGCAATACCAAACAGCTTTAGGGAACGCAAGAGCATGTCATCTGTTTGCATTTTTCAGCTTCACCTTTTACGTTAACAGCATACCCTTTAGTTTTCGCTTTAAGGAAAAACAGAAGTAGTTACTTGTTTACATAAAACTGAATTGTTATTTAACAACCTTTAGTGAACTTGAAAGACTTTCTTTTGATGAAACATACCTTGGCAACCTCATTCCGCCTATTAGAAGCTACTCAGCATAACTTCACTTAATGAACATCACGTCAGTCTTGTTGAACCTTCTTTCTTTTTAAGGTTAAATTTATATATAAACAATATACATCCCACTCATTTTTGGCATAGAAGTCTATAAAGAGTGGTCTTTTGCTTTCTATTTTACAGCTTTGGATCCTTTGGTTTTCTCTAAATAAAAATTTTTTTTAGGTCTCTTTTTTACGAATTAGAATTTTATATAAAGGGTATCAGTAGTTTTTCTTTTTGTTTTTTTATGTTTTGTTAGTCTTTTAAATAGAATCATATATGTAGATTAGAAATAATGATATAGTATTGATATGCTTTTTCTCTACCCTTAGTGAAGATAGTAATCATTTTACATAAGTGGAGTGAGTCTGTTAGAGGGAATAGTGATAGCAATCGACTCAAATGGATTTGAAAAATAATGATGGAAGGTAGTGGCAATTTTAAATAGTTTTTCTTAATGTACACTTTCTAGTCAAAAGTATTAGACTACTTTAAAATTATCACAATTTTTACATTTAATAGCCAACTTTAATTTTT